TAATTGATATTTATCCATATTTATCCATATTTTCAAAATGTTGAAATATCGATGATATATCGAAAGTTACAATTAAAAGAAAATATTCGAACTTTTTTCGCTCTTTCATATATTCGTTTTCTACGTCAATCATATTATAACAAACTTCTGAATATCATAATGTATTATGACAAGGAAAGATTCCGACAATTCGCATGAAATTCCAATCGCTCGAGGCGCAAGGTCGCCGCCACCGAGATCCGGTCAAGGGATTCTCCACCCGCGGCTTACGACAGTTATGCGGGACAGTTGCAAACTTGTTGCATCAAGTCGGCTCGACAGATGTACCGGGAAAGGACAATGATCGCTAGCAGGTAGAACGACGATGGAAAATGTGCCTCGTATCGCGCACAGACACAGAGAGACGAATAGAATGCGACACAACGCGACGCGATGCGACGCGGTGACGGCGATGCTGCAGCAATCGATAGCGCGAGATAGAGCCCTGGGATATCGGGATACTGTTCGAATGACTATCGGGAGAAATAGAGAGCGAAGCCTGAAGAACGAGAGTCTACACCATTTGTTTTCGAGTGCGTTTGCATGCTGGGTGGTTATCTGCAGAACCATTTCCAGATAGGAGAATCTGACTTGACTTTATGTAATTTAGTGTAAATCGATAATACGATAATTGACCCTTAAATATATTTTCGCGTATCGTAAAATGGGGGTAACTTTGATTCATTTTAACAATGTCCAAATAGCATGTTTTTTTAAAATTTGGATTAAATTAATTCCGACTGGACCAAAGTTTTCTCATTAATCCCCAAAAAATACAAAAGTCAACAAAAAATTAAAATGATTTTAACGTCAATAAAACAATCAAATTTTATAACTAAAGTTATTATTTTCATGACGTTAAAATAAAGTCATTTTGACTTTCTCCCGATTTGATGTGTTCCTTATGTCTCTAATTTATTTTAAATGGAAAGTTACTCTGAAGAGCGAAAATTCTATTTTAAAAAAGAGGTGGCAGAATTTTCAATGTTTAAGAGTAAAATTCATTATTTAGAGTAAGATTCCATTCCAAAGAATATAAAGAAATAAATATTAATTATTTATATAATTTCTTTGAAAAAAAAAAGTGAAGTATATAAATGATATGTGTACAATAGAGAAAATCTTCTTTATTTGCAAAAAATAATAGAATAGTGTTGAAATTGTAAAGAAGCATACAAGGATAAAAATATTAAGTACAATAATGCATGCTATGGTTCGCGTATCACTTATAACTGAAAAATTGCTCGAAGCGTCAAGAATAACATGTAAATCATTAGCGATGATGTACTCGCGGTGATATGCAAAAGATGCGCGCATCGACGGGGAAATTATTCTATCGAACTATCCTCGTTTCTCCGTGCCAAGCATATAATTCGTACGCTCCCCGTAATCTCAAGGGAAATAAATTAAAAACTGTCCGAACCAGGTTGCCTGCAAAAACAGATCCGACAATCCTGGCGTTTCGTCCCGAGCAGATCTCTTTTTCACTCCCTCTTTCTCACTCCCTCGTTTTTATTTTCCTCTTTTGTTCTCCGCCTCTGGCGTTTATATCGCGCTTCTTTGTTGAAGAAAATTCGATGTGTTTCGCGATAGCAGCTCCGCGCGTATTTGCTGCACAACATTAGATATTTAAATTCTCTTTAACACAATTTTTTATTTTATTATGGTACGAGATGATAAGTAACTCACCAAGTTTAAGTAATATCTCTTCGCATCTCTTTGCTCTTTATTTTTTTAGAAATTTGATTTTTTATTTATGTTAAAAATGTATTCTTACTGTTTCTTTCTCTCTAAGATTTTTATAAATAATATTTATTCATTTTTTAAATACGATTATTTATATTTCTTATTAAAATAATAAATTCCTTGTATTTTCATTATACATCTTTTATATTAATTTATTTTAATTGCTTCAATGTTATTAGTCTAAGTTCTTTACAGGTTTTAAAATTAATTTTAAGCATGAAATCAATGATATAATTAAATTTGAGGAGATTATTATTTCAGATTGATATTGTGTTGAAAGTTCGGAAGTAAGTAAAGGTAGTCAGCGCACAGTCATATTTCTGAGATAAATTCATTAAAAAAGCAAATTAATTATATGCATGTATTCTAACATCTAACTTTGACTATAATTAGTTTAGCGTTTCTCCTATTTAGTTGATGTATTTATATAAATGGTCCTGTTTCTATTTATTAATGTAGTATATGTAGTAGTTTTATTAATATAGTATAGTCTGCTCTCTACTGCTATTGAAGTTTACGAAATGTTACATATCCATTTTGTGTGTTAACATAAATGTTTTCTTCTGATAATGATTTATCCATTTTATTAATTTTATCCACTTTTGACTGTCTGTAGTCGACGTTATACGATCCGAGAGAACGTCCGCGATGATACGTGATACTGTAATATGACAACGTATATATTGTATGCATTCGTATACGATATCGACCATTTTTGCGCGTCTCGAGTGGCGGACAAACCGCACCAGCCTGTCATTATTTCGTGCACTGTGCAAAACGTCAAGCTCTTTTTTTCCAGCTTCATTCTGCTTCGTCAACGATCGCCATATGATACGATGTCACACTCGAATTAAAATGAATGGTGACCGAGCAGTCAACGGGACCAGAAATTCATTTGTTTTATGGAGTAACTTCGTGTACCGTTTTATTGCTCGTATTATGCGTCACATCTGCGGGAATCATAATTAATGACGTTTCCGTCAATTTAGGATATCAAGAAAAGTGATAGTGTTCTAATGAGGAAATGTGAGGTTCGCGTACGTGAAACAATGCAATCCGAATACTCGCACGCCTATCCGAATTTCCGATGATTTACGTAGAATAACATCGATGCGGTGTAGTGCAGAGAGAGTTGTTCGATAAATTTATCCGAATCAATACGTTTAATTCAGTTTATATCCACGTCTCTGTATAAATATTTAACATATACAACGACCCAATTATTTAATGGCCTTTTCTGATTTCAGCGAATTTTTTTATATCTTTTACATACTACCTTGCGCTTGCTTTCATTTTTCCACTAATATTGTTACTGCATCTATTACTGGTTTTAATTCGACGAGGGAATTATTTATGTCCGTTCACTTGGAACGAGTCTTTCCCGTATCGATAGTTCACGACATCGGCGCGCTGGCACGTGCCGAAGCGGTACCTTTGACTTTTACAGATCGCGATGCCTACGTGTCACACAGTTCGCGGAGCATCCTGTTCACGACAGGCCAGGCTGACTTGCCGCAGCCGTTTAATCTCGCGACGATGGATCGATCTTACTACCGTGATCGTACTACCGACGATGTGGTCGCTAAAACGTCGCTAAAATTAATGACTTACAATTCTTTGCGAGATAGCACGTGTCTTTCTTCACAAAGGACGTACTGCTTTAATGAAATGTAAAAAACATAATATGTAAGAAAATATAAAAGGAATAAATTAGAAAAGACAAAAAGAATATTTTTCAAAACGTTAATTATGCATCTGTTTGGTCTCTCTTCTCTTACAGAAATTTGAAACTGATCAATTTATTACTGAAAAATAGTAACTAATTACTTATATTAAGTATTACTTACTGCTACATAATATTAATTAATTACTTACTTTGATACTGTTTTT